CGGTAGCCTCAGAAGGACCCTTCAGAAGGGTCCTTCTGAGGCTACCGCAGGCATTTCCCCCCAGCTGAGCGGTGGGAGCGCTCCTTCGGAGGCTCCCGCCGCTCAGCTGGGGGGAGATGGTGCCTATGGGGAAAACATCGCAAAGTGATTTTTCCCCATAGGCATTTCGTAATGCGATTGCAAAAGCGATGGCAAAATGCCATCGTTATGCGAATTCATCGTTAAACGGGGCACTCGTTATACGAGGCACCACTGTATTCAGGTTATAAACCTGAGTTACCAGTGAATACAGATCAAATATGAAAGACCACCAGGCTACAAACCAGTATGACCAGCTAAAATTTACCTTTAATCTTGCACTCACTCTATATCTACATCCCAACAGATATGGAAGAGTTAGAGATGCTTGAGCTGTACATTCATTTGCCTCTTCCCTGATGGATATGGCAGGGTATGAGTACATAAGATCTGCAACTGGCAGAAAAGTCATAGGGTGCCTGGGGCAGGCAACAGATCCATAAATCTTCAGCCTTGAAGCACACACACAACTACAAACTCACCTCTCTTTTTTTGCCATGGAGTCATTGGAAACAAAAGACATTTATCAATACTACCCTTTCTTCAAGTAAATTCGGTGAAAGAATAAGCAATAGTTAAACTAGAGTTAATATTAATTTAATATCCTGATGTTCTTGAAGAAATTATCTTTACTTGATGAAATCACATGAATATACTACTTTAAAGACTATGGAAATAAATAAATATGGACAAGAAGAGCAGTGCTAAATCAAACCAGAGGCCTATCTCATTCTAGCATTTGGTTCTCACAGTGGACAACCAGCGGTCCATGGGAACCTCACACACAGGAAATAAAAGCCTTCTATTCATATTCTGTAGCAACTTTTACTAAGATAAATATTGCCATTGATACCTGAATGAATGAACAAATGAATGGATGGATGGAGAGAAATTACTATCAACCGCTGATGGATAGTAGACAATGGAAAAGAAACTGATCAGGATGAATAAATCACAAATAATATGTTCAGATTAAAAACAGGAGCTTTCTACAGTAACACTGGAAAAGTGTAAGCTATATAGAAACAAAATAACAGGATGAAAATAAAGTAATAAACTGCTTGATGTTATTCTTATAATGTGAGATCTCAGCAGAAGTTAAGAAACCTGTATTTTTTTTTAAAAAATTATTTTTGAGGTCTGTTTTAACAGGTCCTAAATCTTTGGAGGAAACAGGAACAGTCTACAACCAAGAAGTGGACCCTGTGTGGAAAAGATAATCTCCTCCCTCTTCAAAGATGCGGAGAATTATACAAACCAATGTTTTTTCCCAAATATACATATCTTAGTATTTATATACACCTGTGAAGAGAGTCAAATTCTGGTCTTGAAGAATGAAAGAGGAAAGGATGTTTGTTAAAAAGGTGCATATACCTTTACTCCTCTCTCTTTACGCAAAGGTGTTCTTGATGGAGGAATAGGAGTTCTGTTTCCAGCAGGACTAAATACACTCGGAGCAGTCGGATTCCTGAATGGAGCCTGCTTCGGTATTCCTTTGAGTGGAGCTTTTTTTAAAAAAAGAAATAAATCACATTTAACAGTAAGGAGTGGAAATGTGTATTACAAAAACCAGTAAGAAAACCACTTTTACTGAACAGAGTTTGACCAAATTCCGGGAGACAGTGGAAGACAGGAGGGCCTGGCATGCTCTGGTCCATGGGGTCACATAGAGTTGGACACAACTTAACAACTAAACAACAAAAATCCGAATAGATCAGAGAGCACTGACTACATATTTTGATTACATACTCTATTTAGTATATTTCCTTATTCAAAGCAAAACCAAACAAATGAAAGAATTAAGAAATACACCCATGAGATCCATGAGCAAAATCACAAGTTGGATAATATATTTACTGGGCCACTAAATTATCTCAGATATTTGAGTTTTCAAGTCCTCAGAACCTTTCATTAGAACTGGTCCTGTACAGCTCAGGTTTGTGGGGAAGAGGAACAGAAAAATCCAAAAATCATCCTGGGTGGAGGCCATAGGACCCGAGTTAAACTGAAATTCCAAGTTGGAGACTATAATCTTAAAGAATCAGCCTAAGTCATGGTTGTGTCAAGTCTTATCTGAGGTGATGTAGAATCAATTGTCTTTCTCCATGTCTGTCAAACAAATGGAGTCACTCAATTTACACTTTGATTTTACTGAGATCAGAAAGCACAACTGCAAGCAAAAGGCACATCCCCAGAGAAAATCACAGGCAAGAGAAACATTTTGAGCCATTATGCGTGGCTTAATCTTTTGACAGGTTGGAAGGATAGAGGTGGCATCGCAAATTGAAATACTTTGTTCTAAAGATAAAGGGAAATGAAATAAGTGTGAAAAAAAGTATAATTAAACAAAACATTACAAAATAAGATATTTTCCTTTTAAAAAATCTTCTAGATTAGTGCAAACCCTCATTCTACCCCTAAACTTCTCCCCAAAACTGGGTTCCCAAGCAAGAAGAAGAAGAGGAAGATAAAGATTCTAAAATGGCTCAATGCTCCTGCCACTTCAGAGGTATGTTATTTATATTACTTCACTATATTCAAAATATTTTTATAACACAGTAAATACAAGAGGTATAATTTTAGGATACAAAAACAAACCTAAAGTAATGAGGGAATGGAGGGAGCCTCCAGCAAGGGAGTTATCATTACTTCTAGACTGTTTAAGTCACCCTTTTGACTCACAGCCTGGCCTAATGCAGTCAAGAACTGAGCAGGACTTTGGTGAGAGCCCACTGTCCCAACAGCTGTTACCAATGTTTCAAAGGATGAGGCTCCCACTGCTCCTGCTCATGTTCAGCATTATAACGGCAGCATTAGAAAGGGTCTCTTACCTAGGGGGATTTTAAAAAGAACTTTCCAGGGGGTAACATGCTTGTTTTTTGCAGCAATGTCAACAAAAAGCCTTATGGCCTTTTAAACATCATTACATTTTAGTTGGCAAAATTTTCATGGATTGCAGCCCACCTCATCAGATGTGCATACACACTATCTTCATGTGTTTGCAATCACTTCCATTCCTCCCATACATGGTGGTCAAAATACAGTGGTGCCTCGCACAACGATTGCTTCATAAAACGATGAATTCACACAGCGATGGGTTTCTTTGAGGAATTTCCCCCATCGTTTAACGATGTTCTCTATGGGGGAATTTCACTTAACGATGTCCCTTTTTCGCTCCTGTAAAAGTGTCTTAAACTGTTAGAAACCTGTTTTAAATGCTTGCAATCGTTAGCCCACCTCCTGAACCCTATGCAAACTTAATTTGGTGTTGTTCTGAGTCGTCGTAAATTTTGGTGATTTTTTGTTTTCTCTCTCATTGAAATCCATTGGACGGACAGTTCAATAGAGTTCAATGAGGGAAAAACAAAAAATCACCAAAAATTAACAATGACTCAGAACAACACCAAATTAAGTTTGCATACGTTTCAGGAGGTGGGCTAATGATTGCAAGCATTAATCTGTTCCAATTGGAACGGATTAACCGGTTTTCAATGCATTCCTATCGGAAATGGTGTTTCACTTAACGATGTTTTCACATAACGATTTTTTTATGGAACCAATTAACATTGTTAAGCGAGGCACCACTGTATTAGCATACTACACAAACTGCATATTGGCCACATTTTGACAGCTCAGACTTGCAACTTATGATCCACCAACAGTGTACTGACTACCAAACACCTTTGTATGAAGGAAGATGGCACAAGAGTATTTGCCATGTGGACCCAGGGATTCTCTACCTGATGGCTTGATGAATGCATGCTGCCTGCCACTTTCCCTCAGAATTACAGACTTCTTTACAATACCCAGAAATCATACAGATTCCAGTCATCCCCTTCCTCATAGCATAACAGGTTCATCCACAAACTTTTAACAAGATAGATATTCTTCAATTTCTCCCATGCCTTAGAAACAGGGCCTGCTGCTTTTCTATTAAGACGTATCTACTACCTATCCCAGCATCACATACACTGTGGATCTTCTATCTATTCTCACAACAGGATTAATCAATATGTATCAAACCATCTCTCCAACTCTCCACTTTACTGGTAATGCTTTGTCAGTTGACTTTCACACCCTTTGAGTGATTAGCAACATACAACATGCATCACTTCTCCATGCAGGTAAGGTTTCTTCATGGCAATAGTATCTGCCAGATGAACCAGAGAAGTTTACTCATTTTTTAAATCTAATACAATTTATAAGCTACAGTGGCTTCTATAATCTAACATATTCTTCCTCCCTAAAAGTACTTGGCATTTGCATCTGGGAATGGGTATATTCCTACAACTCTTACACAGAAACCTCTTATAGAAGTGATATTTTAGACTATTGAAAGGCACTTCAACTTGCTTCTTCTCACAATCCCTACAAGCTCTTTCTTATGATGATCCACAGTGGAGACACTCACACTCTTTCCAGAGATTTGACAAATGGACCACAGCTATTACTCAGTTCTGTCATTGGCAGAATTCCATCTGCCCACATACAGACGTTCTAAACAAACTGTGGCCTCCTCTGGAGTATTCCCCTTCTCAACCTCTTATGTGTACTCACATGGTCCATACCCTTACCAATTATCCAGCACTATTAGTCTGACACAGGAACAAAGATATACTGCATTTGGATGGGCTATCCTTTAGTGTCCTTTTGACATATGCCCTAGACCAGTGGTCCCCAACCTTTTTCGAACCATGGACTGGCTCAGTGGGTGGGTGGGTGTGTGGGACAGCATCTGTGTGTTTGTGGATGGGACACGTGTGCATCCATGCGTGCGTGGGACATCCGTGAGTGCATGTGGGGGGCCATGCATGCATCTGTGCATGCGTGGACAAGACGTGCGTGCATTTGTGCGTCCATGGGTGGGGCATCCATCTGTGTATGGGGGGGTACGTGCGTACGTGGGAGGTGTGTAGGCAGGTGGGCAGGAGTACTGTCTCCGCAGCCCGGTCCTGCCAAGGCCACGCACTGGGGAGTTGGGGACCGCTGCCCTAGACCAATTAGTTTGTTATTCTCCTGTTTCTGTCAGTAACAGAGAAAGTGAAGGGGGAGATGTTGCTTACTAATAATAGTATTCCTCTGTATACAGAGGAGCACAGAATGTATACTCACAAAATATGCCATCCATCTCAGGTCTGATGCCTCATTTCAATATTTGTTTTTCCATTGAGAGATTTAGAAATGGGCAGAAATACAGTGGGGTCTTGACTTGAGAACTTAATTCGTATTGGAAGGTGGTTCTCAAGTCAAAAAGCCTGTAAGTCAAGTCTCCATTGACCTACAGTTCATTGAAAACCGATTAATCCCGTAACAGGCCGTTTTTGTTCCATTTTGGGTTTTTTCTGGTCTGTAAATCAAATCTCAGTCTGCAAGTCAAACCTAAATTTTGCGGCCAGAGAAGTTTGTAACTCAAAAAGTCTGTAAGTCAAGCCGTCTGTAAGTCAAGGGTCCACTGTAATAGGAGCCACACCCTTTGAACATGCTCAGCAGCAGTGGGAAATCAAGCTCCCATCAAAATTCCACTTAGCTCCAGAAAGCTCAAAGAAGGCATGGAACCTCCATATTAAGTGAGTCAGCCCCACTGCCTTTTCAGCGGCTGCTTCCAGCTTGTGGAATGCCCTCCCTTCAGGGGCCAGATTCACCCCTATCCCTGTTGTCCTTCCAGTGATATGTAAGGGCCTTCCCTTTTAGGGAGTCTTTTAGCAATTAAATCGGACAGAAAAAAGGGTAGAATGCTGTACATTATTTTTTGTGGTAGGTTCTGAATGCATTTTAAACTTTTAAATGACTAGCCTTTTTAATATTATTATACATTTATATTTTAAATATTGTAATTTATTGTGTTTTTATTTGCACATATTTAAAACCATTTGCAAATGGCTTTGTGTCTGTCTGGGCTTCTGATACAGAAATCACACCGGGGTGGGTGGGATGGAGGAGTCATTTTCTCTTTTATTTTTCTTCTTTCTCCTCCCATCCACTACCTCTAAGGGAAGGAATTTATAGTGTCATCTATTGGTAGGCTGAGGTTCTGTCTGTAGAACGTTTAAGGGGAAAAGATATCCTACGATTCTCTGCAGCTTTGGTTGTTCCCAACAAGCCCTCTGAGAGAAAACAGGATCAAATTCTTAATTTTTAAAATAAATCTTCCAGAATATGAAAGATAACACATGTAGAGTTGAATTGTGTATATACAAGTAGCTAGAAAAAATAACTCTTACTTGTTGTGTCAATTTTTTTTACCAACCCCCGTCCTTTGGCATGAAAAGGCACTCCAGCTGTTTTCTTGAGCTGCTGGGCAGTTTCAGTAGCTGGAAATAAAGTGTCAGATAATGTTTACATTTTTTTAAAAAAACCAATAATTCATAAATGGATAGCTGAGCTATCTTAAAAGACTATAAATACGTCTAATCTTTTAGAATTATATCTAAAATATGGCGAGTTCCTAGTTCAAGGGAATCAGTACATTTTCATTATAAAGCAGGGGTCTCCAAACTATTGCCCGCAAGCCACATCCGGCCTGCCTTGCCTTTTTATCCAGCCCACAGGCTCAGGTCTGCAGGCTCAGATTCATTCCCTTCAGCCCACACGGAAGGGCAGCTAACTAAAGGGATGCGAAGACGATGATGGAAGGCCTGGAAGGGGAAACTGCACAATGAGTCCCTGGTAGGGGGCAGGGTTTCACTCTGCGCCTGCATGAGCGCGCGCGCACACACATATGCGCATGTTCGTTCGGCCCACAAAAATGTGTAAAATATATGATGCGACTCTCATGCTGAAACGTTTGGAGGCCCCTGTTCTAAAGCACGCCAAAAATTTTCAATGCTAATATCTTTAAGTCACTTAGATCTCTACAGTACTGTATCTATTTATCTCTCTCCTTTTCAATCTATGGTGGCCTGATGGAAAAGAAAACACTTGCTCCTTTTGAAGTATTGAAGAAGAATTTCAACATTTAAGTTTTTATCAGTTGGAGATCTAAGAACCAAAGCCTACACATCTTAATTCCTTCTTCCAAAAGTGTACAAAACCTAAAAGCACCTCTTCACTAAAGTGTCCATGTTTTTCTTCTTTCTCTATTCTTTCTGTCCCCTACATCTGCATGTTCACTTTTGACTTCTTCAACACAGCATCTATCAATGTCAGTGTCAAATGTCATGTTAAATTATGACCGTGCAGTTACAAAGTTCAAATAGTCATTGTAGTATGCATCCACAAATGGACAGTATTTCAGTTTGAAGGCAGCAAAATGAAATTGTGGTGTAGTACTGGCCTATTACACAAATATATCTACCACTAGGATCAATATTCACAGATTCCTCAATAAAAGGTTAAGTGCCTCAGTCACAGTTGCTGTTCCTCACTCTTTAAAATTCCTAGGTGCAAGATACTGAATATTTTTCAAACACAGGTACTGACAAACAATATTAAGATGCCACTCCCCATTTTTCTTACCATTATTGGTGTGCATCTATAGTTGTCCTGATACTTACATTTCTGCAAAAGCTCTGCTCGAAGAGTGGCACTCTTTGGTTTCCGTTTAAGCTGGAAGTGTTTTACTGGAGGTGTAAGTGGACCAGCCAATGTTGTCAAGGCATTTTTATTTAAGTACTGGCATTCCAGTGGCAGCATGACTGATGTTTCGCATTCACTTACTACAAGAAAAGGACCATACATGGGAAATAAGTTATCATAACCATTAATAATACTATTAATTATCTTTGCTTAGGGAAACAATTGTACACTTCAGTCTAGGAAATTTCTTCAGTTTTTGAAAAGAAAAGCACTTCTATACTGCATCAAGTTATTTTAATGCTTTACCTATCAATATCCTTTCCTTGCAACACACACACACACACACACACACACACACACACACACACACACACACACACACACACACACACACACACACACACACACACACACGAGATAGCTACTCACTACCTGAATTGTCACTCTGCCATACAAACATTCAACGAAACATTCTGCATTTCTCCAGTCCAAATGTCATATACAAAGAGCTGGTTTAGACAGAGTTGAAGACATGAACAGCTCTCCTTCTGTCTAGCAGCCATTACACTCAGAATAAAGAATGTGCATCATCTGCAAACCTGCCATTGTACACACTTGTTTGTCTCTCACATGCTTCCTAGGAAAACAACTGTGCCAAGTTACTGGCAATTGCTGCCCTGTTATGACACCTTCCTGGTTGTTTAAAACCACAAAATAGGCCCTCTTGAGACTGCTTTCTCCCGAGTTCCTCTCAAACTGCAGCAGACATTCCATTTGGAATTACATTCAGTCCCCACTTTTGCTTTTAAGAAAGGCATCAAGAGGTAGCTCTTCAAACTGGCTGTTTACATTGTTCTAAATTGTTTAGAGTGCTTAATTGTTTAGGCATCCTTCAGTCTCGAAAGACTATGGTAGCGTGCTCTGTATGGAGGGCTTGGAACAGCGCCTAGTGTGGCTGAGAAGGTCAATTCGAGAGTGACAATCCCTTCCACACTGAAGACACATCCAATCTGTCCCCTGTCCAGATCCCGGATTTTGCTGCTTTTGTGACTTCCTCTTTGCCTCAGCCTGCTGGGCAAGGGTCTCTTCAAATTGGGAGAGGCCGTGATGCACCGCCTGCCTCCAGGCTGAACGCTCAGATGTCAGGTTTTCCCATCTGTTGAGGTCTATTCCTAAGGCCTTCAGATCTCACTTGCAGATGTCCTTGTATTGCAGTTGTGGTCTCCCTCTGGGGCGCTTTCCCTGCACTAATTCTCCATAGAGGAGATCCTTTGGAATCCGACTATCAGCCATTCTCACGACGTGCCCGAGCCAACATAGACGTCGCTGTTTCAGTAATATATTCATGCTGAAAATTCCAGCTCGTCCTAGGACTGCTCTGTTTGGAACTTTGTCCTGCCAGGTGATGCCAAAAATCAGTCGGAGGCAATGCATATGGAAGGTGTTCAGCTTCCTCTCCTGCCGTGCACAAAGGATCCATGACTCACTGCAGTACAGGAGTGTGCTCAGGACACAGGCTCTATAGACCTGGATCTTCGTATGTGTCGTCAGCTTCTTATTGAGCCATACTCTCTTTGTGAGTCTAGAGAACATGGTAGCTGCTTTGCCAATGCGTTTATCCAGCTCGACATCTAGAGAGAGGGTGTCAGAGATGGTTGAGCCAAGGTACACAAAGTCATGAACAACCTCCAATTCTTGTGTGGAGATGGTAATAGAGGGAGGTGAGTCCACGCCCTGGCCCATGACTTGTGTTTTCTTCAGGCTGATTGTTAGTCCAAAGTCTTGGCAGGCCTTGCTGAAATGATTCATGAGTTGTTGGAGGTCTTCAGCAGAGTGGGCAACAATGGCTGCATCATCTGCGAAGAGGAAGTCCCGCATGCATTTCAGTTGGACTTTGGTCTTCGCTCTCAATCTAGAGAGATTAAAGAGCTTTCCGTCTGATCTAGTCCGGAGATAGACACCCTCGGTTGCAGCTCCAAAGGCATGCTTCAGCATGACAGCAAAAAAGATCCCAAAAAGGGTTGGTGCGAGGACACAGCCCTGTTTCA